TGTGGTAGACTCCTGCTCCGTCCCTGGAGCTTGCTGCTTTTGGCTCTTCTCACTGGTTGTCATGACCATATCTGCTGGAGGGAGCAGGAGGCACAGACCTCAGGACTTCCCAGACCTTTGTTAGGTCTGCACTTCTCCCCAGATGTGCATGGAGACTCTCCAATTCCCCACATAAGTGGTTGCATTTGAATGTCCTAGACTTTAAATGTCTGCCTCCCAAAGTGGGGGGAGGGGTAGGAGTGGGGCCCTTTAAATTCCTTGAGAGTTGCTTCAGCTGGTGGGGCAGGAGCTTGCAACAGTAGAGGGGAGGGTGTCATGATGGCTGCCCACCTGAGTGTCTACACCACCAAGACCAGCAGCAGCCAGAGCACAGGTCCCAGTTGTCGGAGGATGGAGTCCTTACTGTCCACTCTGATTCCCATGAGCTGCATGCACGCTGCTCCAGAAATACATGCATGTCCACTGGGTAGCCCGTGCTCTGTTGCAGCTGAATTTGACTAAAACCAACCACAGTTTACCATTGAGGCCTTCCTCTGGAAGTTGTAGCCTTCAAATAGACTCCCCCTGGAAGAGTACGTGAAGAATGAGCTTCCAAAGAATTTAAGCTAACGTATCTAAACAGTTTCTGTCATTTACATTCTTATAATTACAAAAATGAATAAATTGAGGAGTTAGAAATGATGTTACTGGCCAGCCCTGTGCTGATTTTAAACCCTCAGAAGGCACAGACGTTGCATAACAGGCCTGCCTGTGTTCTCTTTTGAGAGCTGCGCCACCTGTGAAGACGGAGGTTCAGCTGGTGACACTGCAGAGGCCCCTGGCCGCATCCAGGAGAAGACAGCAGCTGAGCCACCATGAGGATGTCCCTGTACAAGCTTTCCAGGGCTCGTGTGACAGACCTCCCTATGTGTCTCTAAAGCTCGACTCACAAGTGACCACAAAGTCATCATCAACATAAGACTTCCCACCGTGCTTTTTTAACAGACGTCATTTTTCTGAAGCAGAAGCAGCATTGTATATCGAATCTTGTTCCTGATGTGTTAAAACTGCCAATTAGACTCCTTTTCTAGTTTAGCTGTCTTCTAGAGAGATTGGATTGCCTTTAAGAGGTAGGTGTATGGTAAAATTTTATTTCAAATATCACCCAAAATAAATTATGATTAGAAGTACAGCTAAAATGAGCCCACAGCTGAGCCTCTCTGGTCTTTCTGTTGCTACCTGAGTCCTTCTCCCTGGTGGAGTGCGAGGAGCAGCACACCCCTGGGCGTGTGCCTCCGTGATGGTCTCCGCAGTGTGGTGCTCCCCTGTGACTCAGAGAGGACATCCCGGTTTCCTGCCACCCAGTAAAGTTCATTGTCCACTAGTAAATCAGGAAATAACTATTTTTAAGGCTGGATTTTTACTTTCATTCTTACAAATGCATTTTTACTTTTTTTTTTTTTTTTAACCTGTCACTAAAAGGCTTTTCTAAAAAGACTCCGTCAACTTATTAAGGGGCTTATTCTTTGGAGAACTTAAAATTAGCAATTGTAAATGTAGTTAAAACAAAAGAGCTATTTACTCAACCAATAGTGTTTTTCTTTTTAAGATTTTTTGATTTTAAAATAATGATTGTAAAAAGTGGACAAAAGTTCTATAAGTTGATATTATTCTTATTGCATATGTGTTTAACCATTAACTTTTGCTTTCCACTGAATTTACACAAAGATGGCTTTCTGTGCTGAGCAGAGGTCTGATTGGCACTGCCTTTTGTTTGCCCTTGAACAGGGTAAGTGTTCTGATACCCAGTGAGAAACCTGGGGAGCTCGGGACCCCCCCCTCCCCCGCCCTCAGGGACTGCAGTCCTCAGGAGTCATTGATTTCTGTGTCACTTGCCGAAGACTCTCAAGAAGTGAGTGTTGACTTGGCAGGTTGGCTCACTCCGGTGCTCTTTATAGAGAAGTCATGGTTCCTTCTCAGACTTAGAATGATATGCGTGATCCACACCCATGCAGCTCAGAAAAGGAAATAGAAGATGAAGGTCACAGTGACCTTGTATTTTTATATAACTTACAACAAACTTATTTTTCTTTTCTTTGTTTTGTTTTTTGTTTGTTTTAGGAAAAGACTTCTTTCTTCTTTGAAGTTTCATAACTTTTTTTAAATGCATCCTCATAATGATTAGGCAAATTGACCTTTTTGTCTGTGGAATAGATGGACCCTGATTCTCCAATCCTGTAGCTCAGATTTTCTCCCAAAGTAGTGGGTTCTGGATTCAGTCGTCAGGTGCCAAAAATCAGTTTCAAATGCTGCCTTTGACATTTCTTGAAATTTTCTAGTATCAAGCGTTCGAATACAAATATTGCCGTTTTATGAATAGAGAACACTCATATTCTATTCCATCTTGATAGTTAAATGATTTCTGAGGTCTTTGTGTGTTGATCCAGTTGTTCTGGTGTTTTTTTCCCCTTGGTAAAAAAATCAGATTAAAAAATTAGCCTGTCCACTGACAACTTTCTAGAGTAATGAAGTTCTTAGTTTGTGTAAATCAAAGTTGGCATTTGGAGCTATCAGGGTCATTCTGCCTTTATGTGTGCGTACTTTAAACTCTGTGTTCTGTGCCGACGCAAGGCTTCTTTGTGCTGTTTTGGATGTTCGCTTGTTAGAATCACCTGTTTCTCTCCTTCGTACACATTCTGTGTAGTCACATGATGCTGGGCTGGATCTGACGTGGTGCTGTTGAGGACAGGTCTGCAGGAGCACTCTCAGGCCTCTTCTCTTCTCTTGATAAGAAATTGTTCAGTGCATGTAGAGGTTGTCGCACCGTGAGATGCAAGGGGATTCACAGTGGCCTCTGCTCCCCCGCAGGGGTATGGTCTCACCCAGTTGAAGCTTGGTTGTTCAAGTTTATTATCAGCTTTTTGTATTAATGACTGTAGGAACTAGTGATGAAAGTGTATTTTATAGGCTTCCATGTTTACATAAATACTACCCAAAAAGCTTTATTTTCTTGGGTCAGAGGCCAAAATTTATGAAAAACAAAGTGCTGTACGAAGGGAATAGTTTTGCAATTACACAAAACTTCATTATTCATAAAGTAAATTTAATCCAACTTGAAATTTTGTTTCAGCTGAATTTATAATTATGTGATTTGCTGGTTTTTATGGCTATTAATATTTTATTTGGTATCTTTTTTAAGTAAAATAATAAACTGTGCATGTGAAACCTGTGGGTCCCTAGCAGTGCTATGTGGCAAGCCCTGGTCTCAAGTGGGTTTTGCGTCATGAGAGGTGCTTCTCCTGGAGGCACTGGGTTGCCATTGCAGCGCATGTGGGCTAATGGTGACAAGCGTGGCTCAGTCCCTTTTCCCAGCACATTGGCTCATTTAATCCTTGCTCCAGCCTTGTGAAGAATTTATTGGGTTCCGTGTGTGTGTGTGTGTGTGTGTGTGTGTGTGTGTGTGTGTAGTAATTTTCATGCCACTTTAATGAAACCCAGTTAGCATATTACTCTTTCATATTCCACAGAGTGAACCTGTGTTTTACAAAGACTGTGACTTGGCCTGGGGATGTGGCTCAAGTGGTAGCTTGCTCGCCTGGCATGCGTGCGGCCCGGGTTCGACCCTCAGCACCACATACAAAGATGTTGTGTCTGCCGAAAACTAAAAAATAAATATTTAAAAAAAAATTCTCTCTCTCTCTCTCTCTTAAAAAAATAAAAAAAAAAAAACAAAGACTGTAACTTAGCAGCAACAAAATCTAGAAATTAAAATATGGAACAAGAGCCTGAAGTCAACAGGTCTTTTAGTAATACCCTTTTTGAATCCCTGCCACCTCTCTGTGGCAACAGTGACCACAGCAGGAAGGAAAGGGCCGTAGTGTGGGTGGCACTTAGTGTGGGTCAACAGCTCCTGGTCTCAGCTTCCCCGAATAAGCCTTGTCGTCCCTGTTATGGAGGACGCTGTGGCAAGGGAGCAGATAGCCTGGTGGAGGACACAGCTGGTACGTGAAGCGAGTAAGGGTCTGAATTTCATGATCTGACTGCGGAGCTGTAGGAATAATCTCCCGATATTGCCATGAGTGAGGGATTTTGGAATCACTACAAGGGAATTCTTCCGTGAGGCTCTTTCTGGTGTTGTGGTGCGAGCTGGTATGGGCTCCCTCAGCTCTCAGAGGCCCGGCGTGTCCCATAGCTGTGCCTGGTGTGGGCATGCATCTGAGATCAAGTACCCACTCCTCACTAACATCTTTCTCTGCAGATGTTCTTTTTTTTTTAATACCTTTATTTTATTTCTTTATTTTTATGTGGTGCTGAGGATTGAACCCAAGGCCTCGCATGTGCTAGGCAAGCGCTCTACCGCTGAGCCATACCCCAGCCCTCTCTACAGATGTTCTTGATGTCTTAAACCAGGAGAGCTTTATCCAGCTGCACTCTTAAGAGATTTGTGATGGCTGCTGATAAGCGCACATCACCTGCTTCCAAGTGCCTGGTGCAGCCTGTGCTGCGAGGGAGTGGGGTGGACAGCCCCTGTGGTCCCCCTCTGGACAGTCTGCAGAGCCCTTGGTGCTCACCCTAGTCATTCTGACCTCATCACCGTGGAGGTGCTGGTGACGTGGAGTAGATTTACACACGTGTGGTTTCTAAAGATTAGTAAACAGGGCTCTTTCTTCTGTTCTGCAATCTTAAATCCTGCCATAGCCTTTTCTCTCGATAAGAAACTAAGGTATTTCCCCCAGAATACATGAACTGTGGTTCTAGAGCTCGGAGCAGCGCAGTTCCAGCATGTGTCTCTGTGAATGTCTTGGCTGTTCCGGGAGGGGCGAGGCCAAGCCCAGGCACCTCCAGGTGGGAGCCCATCCTGGGTTCTGCCCGGAGGGGTCACTCACTCTAGAGACCAGCCAAGCCGTGGCACTGCTTTCTGAAAAGTAACCGTTTATGTGGTCATTTTTAAGGGTGAGAGGACATCAGCTGTTTGTTTAAATGGTTTGTAGTTGAATGATTTTGACTAAATTTCACCTCTATGGCTTTTTCTTCTTAGTATTTGTTTCTATTTATTTATTATCTTTACTTTAAATTTCCAAGAAATTAGGAATAAATTGAAGGTAAGACAATGACAGATTCCAGGACATGCTTACAAGTGAACTAGCCACTCATGATCTTGCGGACTAGAGCGTGGTTCCCAAGGATGAATTGGGCGGTGGCCTCGTGTTTCTTCAGTGCTTCTGGTCGGTGTCCTGTGTCCGACTGTCCACACTGAGCCGGGCCCCTCTCGCCTAGACGCAGTACTTCCAGAAGCACTCCAGGGGGGGCCCGTGCTGCTTGTGCTGTTTCCTGGGTCTGGCCAAGAGCTGACTCAGAAAAATGTTAGGACCCTCTTCAGGAAAAGCCTGCAACCAGAACAATCCAGAGCAACATCAGCCGTCAGTGCAAGAGGAAGGAGCCTTGGCCGAGCCTCTGGGGTGAGTGCTCGCCCTGTGGCCCTCTGGCTGTTCCTGTGCCCCCTGGATGCTGGCCTCCCTCCGGCTCCTCGTCCCAGGCCTCCAGGCTCCCCACCTGTGGTTGCTGTGAAGTTTTCTGAGCCCTTGTTGGCCTAGTCCTGTGTCACTTCTCTCTTAGTGACATGTTCTGCACATATATTGTTCTCTGTGTATCAAATCTTGATCATAAAATTTTCTCTTTATTCTGTTTTTTTTTTTTCCCTAGAATTTAACAAACACAGCTACTTATCACCTGTGTGGTTTTAATCGTGAATCATAACCCTGTTCAGGAGAACGTAAACATGGGCATGGTGACTTGTAATTAGCCACATATAGAAGCCAGGGCGTCCCCTTCTGGGTAGCTTCTCCCTCTGGGACTGCAGGTGGTATGTGGTGTGTGCTGTCTGCAGGATCTAATGTGTCCACCTTGTACTTTTGCTGGAATGTTAAGAGGCATTATAGCCAAAGAGGTGCCTCTGGTCAGAATGGGAAATGGTTGGTTAGTGTTAAATGAGGCTCTTGAGCTAGTGACCTTCTGGGGGCCTTCAGACGCTGCTGTACATGCACTGCCAGGAAGGGAGAGTGGGAACCCAGGGCAGCCGAGGCCAGGCGCAGGAGGCGCACTCAGGAGACCCCTCAGGCAACATCAAGAGCTTTCTGGGGTTGATGATGATTGCATAGACTTTTCTTCTAGCTTGTCAGGTCCTCTGCGCGCTGTGCACCATTTCTAACCAAGGGTTTTGCCATCCTCGTTCCCTATTCCAGCCCTCTCCACCCAAAGCGACTTTCTCGAGACTGCTGTCTGCTCCGTCCTGCACCCCACAACTGTGGACACAGCATTCCTCCTTTGAGATGGAGGTGCCGAGCTCCCGGGCTGTCAGGTGGGGGGGGAGCTCGTTGAGGTAGGGGGATGACTCGTGGGTTTTATTTTATTTTGAGGGGGTACCAGGGATTGAACTAAGGGCCCTCAACCACTGAGCCACACCCCCAGCCCTATTTTGTACTTTATTTAGAGACAGAGTCTCACTGAGTTGCTTAGCTCCTCACTGTTTCTGAGGCTGGCTTTGAACTGGCGATCCTCCTGCCTCAGCTTCCTTAGCCATTGGGATTATAGGCGAGTGCCACTACATGCTGCTGACTTGGCGGTTCTTGCAAGCTCCCAGGTGATGCAGTGCTTCTGGCAGGAGTCAAGAAGACGGTGACCGTATAGTGACCAGCACACTTGAGAGCAAGGACCTTGTCTGGTTTTTTTGTTTAGTTGGTTGGTTTTTGTTGTTGTTTTTGTTTTGCTTTAAGTTCTTACAACTTATTTAACTTACCCTAAACAGACACTGGTGAGTCCTTGTCACATTCAGATTTTTTTATGAATAATGGTTTGGACAAGTTAATGCTTCCACAACACTGGCCAATTACTTTAAGGTGCAATTTTTACAAGAACACTAGCAGTTCCTGAACACTAGTTCCTTCTAGTCCTATGAAATCAGGACTAGAAGGCTCCCCTTTCATTCCTACCTCTCGTAAGTAGAGATACTTACCTTTCTTGGATGGCTTCTTGGGTTGGAAATGTTCATAGTAGGATCTGGAAAACAGTTTTGAAACCAGTTCATCAGACCTGCTGTGCCTAGTGTGTGCTTACTTTAGAACACATAAAATAGTGTATGATGAGTCACATCTCCTCCCAATCCCTCATGCTGCAGCAGGGTTCACTTTTGAATACAGAGAGGGTCCTTACCTCTGGGGTTCACAGAGGCCTTGCAAAAATGCTTAACAGTTCAATATCAGATTTTTTAAAAAATTAATAAAAGCTGAACTACCATCTGCTAAATAACGCAGTGAAAGGCTCCATCTTGTTTCTGGAATGTCCTGAGCATGGCGTCCGTGCTGGGGGAGACACTAGCCATGGACAGGAGTCAGAGCTGGCATTTGTTCTCTGAGCATTTCACTTGCATTTTTTCACTGACTTTTCAAAACACCTCCAGAGGTGGGTGTTTGTCATTTCTGTTTACTGATGAAGAGCTGGGTTACAAAAAGATTCAAACCCTGGGAAACCAGGATTTAAAATTGCACTCATTGGAAACAAAATCACCACTGCCCCCCCATCCCCCATCCACACAGAAAGAGAGGCTCAGGGTGCCTTGCACCCCTGGAGCTGGGTGGTGAGGACCACAGGTTGCAGTGGGAGTCCGGGCCAAGAGGGGAGAGCGCTGGGTCACGAGTTTTGCTGTTCCATCTGGTGCGCCTTTATGCTCCCGCACAGGGTTTCCCCTCCTCTGAGGACAGAGGGTGAATCAGTAGCCATGAAACCAAGCCCTCTGTAAGCAGGGACTCAGCTAACCTGCTTCCCAGAGCCCGTCGCCTCTCTCCGCACCCAGCAGCCTGTCGCCTCTCTCCGCACCCAGCAGCCTGTCTCCTCTGCCCGCACCCAGCACCTCTGGCAGCAGCTTTAGGATGGAGGCTCTTTCCAGCTCCTCCAGGGCCAACCTCGCGTCGTCTTCAGGTGCTGCAGAGTGAGATCGAGACCAGTGACTCGCTCCGGCCTTCAGCTCATCATTTCTGCTCCCTGTTGTGTTGGGGGAGTACCAGCAACAGGGAGAGGAATACTAGAAAAACTTCAGATGCAAAGTTCGTGATCTGGGACTGGTGGCGTTTTATTTATTTGCAGTACTGGATATTGAACACAGGGTGCTCTACCACTGAGCCACATCCCCAGCCCTTTTATTTTTTGAGACAAGGTCTCACTGATTTGCACAGGGCCTCACTGAGTTACTAAGGCTAACCTCAAACTTGGGATCCTCCTGCCTCAGCCTCCTACGTGGCTGGAATGGCAGGCATGCGCCACTGCACCCAGCACTAGTGGTGTTTTAACAAGTGAAAATCCCACTGTCCGTTTGCATGCCAGCAGGACAGAGGTCAGGAGATGTGGATCTCATATGTCACCTCTTCACTGCATATGTGGCTCACCTCACCACCCAGGAGGGAGAGCCCTGAGCAGGAGGGAGAGCAGAGCCGGGGCCCTCAGCACCCTGTAGCTCAGAGAGTCTGAGGGACCCTCCTTCCCTACTTGTCCCCTGCAGCTGACTGCCTTTTCTTTAGATATCTGGGTGGTGCCATTGGAATGAGAGGAAAAGAGATGGTTTTTGCTCTTTCCATAAAGGGAGGGCAGTGGCAGCACCTCTCACTGTCCTCCAGGTGGAGATACAACTATTACTATCCTGGAAAAGAATTAGCTTCAAGACCACTTGTAAGGCGCTTGACTGGTGTGAATCAATTTAAGGTGCTTTTCCAGCATGAAACGTGGCCAGTGGGCTGGCCCTGCACTGTGCAGTCGTCACCGAAGCTCTGAGGGCGCTTGTATTGGATTGGAGTCGTGGGCTACGCTGCTGTGCAGGGGCACAGGCTGCGGGAATGGGCGGAAGCCACACATGGCCGCAGCCTGACAGCGGAGCTAGGACCTGTCTGCAAGACGGCACACAAACCCTCTGTCCGAAAGGCATCCAAGCATGTTCTCAGCATTTCTAATACCAACGAAACCTGTAAAGTCTGATCATGGACAGGTGCTTATGGCTTGAAGGGTCCTTTACGAAGGAGCAAAGATTTGTGACAAAAATTCCACGGTAAGCTTCTGCCTGCCTGGAATCTGGGAGAGGTGCTGCCCTCATTTCATCTGATTTTGTTTCTAATTATTATCTGAGTGTTTAAAATGTATTAGTATCTGAATATTCATTTGATTTCTTCTTACAGTGCTTTTCAAAATCTCTTTTTAAATAATAGAGATTTGATTAGTGCCTGGTTTTGACCAACAAGGTGACTGCCAGTTAGGAGCTCAGTGACCCAGAAGTGACTGATGATGTATGAATGACTAGCAACACTTGAAAATCATGAGAAAGCTGTTTGGAGAAACTTTTAGAGGCTAGAAATTATAAAATCAATGGCTTAGAAGAGTTTTTTTTTTCTTTATTTAAAAAAAAAAAGTCTAAAAGTACTCAAAGATAAAATCCAGTGAAAAATTTTTTTAATGGAACTTACCTCGGTCTTCTCACTTCTTAAACTAATGTACCTCACTGGTTGTATTTTCTTAAAGCTCAACTTGGACTTTTATGAAATGAGCACGTATCAAAAGGAAAAGATAAATGCACTTGGAAGACTGACATCCCTGCCCTGCTTGCCGCTTTCCTGATCTTTAATAAGCCCGTTTCTCTCAGCCACACATCAGGTGATTACTTTTTATTATAGAAGGGGAGAGAGCATTACTGATCCGTAACTAGAACAGCTGATTCTACACTCAACCCAGTTTATTTTAAAATTAAAAGTAATGATGTTTTAAATTCAGTGCAATTTCTATAAATGGGAAAAAATATTGACCAAAGCAAAAGTTTGAATTGGAGAGGTGATATGAAGCCAGCAGTGCTACTTTTCTGTGTTTACATTTTAGAAAGAGAAAGCTGCGTCCACTACTAAATCTAAATTGTGCTGCAAGGGTGCCCGGTGTTCTTGGGAAAGCTGGGACTATCCAGGTAACCAGCTCCTCCAAGCAGGAATCCCACCCTCACCTCCAGCATGGCCCCGAAGGCCAGTGGAGATCCTTCAGAAAGACTAGCACAAAAGATGGATCTTACCTGGGAGCTGGAGAGACATGTCCCTGGAGTCAGTGACAGGAAGAGATACGAGAGGATTTAAGAATCCTATAAAGAGCAAGCAGCAGGAGGCCAGCTGGTACATGATTGTGGAGAGGCAAAGTCCCCCTGGCTCTGTCCTGGAGTGCTATCAGCTTGCTCCTCCTCAGTCTGTGGTCACCAATTATATATATCATCCCGTGACCTCATTCAGAAAAATGTAAATGTATTGGCTCTGGAGGCTAAAAGGCAATCACTTTGCATTGATGTAATTTTTCAAAGTAACAATTCATAGACAATAAATTTATTGTCTCGTTGCCTAGTGTGCAAAGTAGGTGATATAAAGAACAAATCTGGCAAAGGGAGTCACTTGGCAGTAAATCTTGAGTTAGAGAAAGGGTCAGAAGTGAGTTGATGTGGCCAAGGTAGGAGACACAGATTTATGAGTCTTAACAGAAGTGACGCAGAGTGTGACATGAAATATGTTGGCTCCCTTTAGTTTTAATCTTGTGAGTGAGTTGCCGTGTGGTGCTGGGGCTGCCGTGCCTGGACAAGCACAACCTCTGGACAGACTTACAACCAGTTCTTTAAAACAGTGAAGATAACTTAAATATACAGCAGACATAGCTTAGGACTCCATTTCGGGGCCTGCAAGCATGGAGACGTCAGGGAAGGGGAAGAGCATTCCGCAAAGCTGGACGGTATCCGTCAAGCAGGGCTAAAGGACCCCAAGACCCTGCTGGTAAATATCTCCAGAACTTGACCTGCTCACCATGGCACCTGGCCCTCTAGGTCCAAGCCTGGGCAGCTGCCGTGGTGTCCCCAGGAGCGCTGCCCGAGCCCCACCTCAGCAAAGCAAAGTGATGCCATAGCGCGGACATCCATTCTTTGCTCAAAACCCTCTTTTGACTTAAAAGTCAAGACTATTATTAGGGAAAAAAATACACAGATACCTTTGCAGCCTCAGATCAGGCAGGTATTTATAGGGACATCAGCTACATAAGAAGAAACCAGAGACGGAGGTGCACGCTCACGGGTGACTCGTTCAAACAATGGGTGGCACACTTGAGGAAGCTAACTAGATTCTTTTTTATAGCATTACTTCTTTTAATTTTTTTTTTAGTTGTCAGTGGACTTTATTTATATGTGGTGCTGAGGATCGAACCCAGGGCCTCACACATGCTAGGCAAGCGCCCTACCACTGAGCCCCAGCCCAGCCTGCTAACTAGATTTTTAAGCGATCTCATCATGCCCGGAACATTCTGAAATGTTTTTGTAAAATTAAGCACCCTACCTGTGCAACCCAAAAATGCCTCTCCACTTCGTTCAAGTGGAATGAAACGTGGGCTCCCACAGACCTCAGCCCCCTGATGGCAAAAGCAGCTCTGGTCACAACAGTGAAAAACCAGAGGCACGTGGTGTCCTTCCCTGTGCACTAAGAGAAGCCACTCTGGAACACAAAGGAAATGAGTCTTGGAACTACACACTGAACAACATAAGCCAGACCTGCAGAGACTGTCACATGGTCTTGTGCAAATGAAATCTAGAACAGGCAGAACTGGCCACAGCAACAAAGTGGCCTGGGCCTAGGGTGGGAGGCAGAGGGGGTACCTGGGGAAGCAAGGGAAGTTTGGGATGACAAGAATGTTCCCCATGTCAGTTAAGGCTGTGGCTGCATGGGCACGAGCATCAGTCGACACTCATCAACTTGTACACATAGACAGGTGCATTTTGCTGCATGTGAATGATACTTGAATAAAGCTGGTTTTTAAAAACCTCCACTAACTCCCGATTTTATTTTGACCGAATTCTGCTCTCCCTCTTGCACACTCCATTCCACCACCATTTTCCACTGTCCACTGCTTCCTGAAAACACCTCTGCCTCAGGTCCTTCTGCCTGGATTGCTCTTCCCCAGGAGTGCACAGCTCTTCTCTCGCCTCCCGCAGGTGTCTTCTAGGACCTTCCCGCCGCCCGGCCCCCACGTGCTGAGCACCCTGCCTCTCCACCTTTTCCCCTGCACTGAGCTCCTCCCGACGTTTGTCAGATGTTGGTTCTTAGTATACATGTGGCACTCAGTGCCTGTCAGGCCACAGTGTGCGCCCGCCATGTGCCGTCCCTGCTCAGGAAAAAGCAATGACCCCAAGGAAAGGATTTCTACCTGGAAGGACCGACAACAAAACAGAGGTCCAACCGCGGTGACTTTATTGGCAAGAAGAAAAGCGGAGCCCGCAGGCCCTGGGCCAGTTTCCGGGCGTGTGCTTTCAGGAGGGAGGCCTTGAGCGGGATGGGGACACGTGCAAGGTTCGTGAACTAAGTTAAGGGTCCAGCCCAGGAGGTGGAGGCGAAGGGCCTGACCCGGGGCTGTAAGAAGAGCCCACCCAGCAGGAGCAAGGGAGAAGTGGGCTACGGCCGGGCTCTTGACCCTGGCCCAGCCGGGAAACCAGCCTTGAGATCTCGGGCAGGGGCCACCTCTTCAGGGGTCCTTCCTGGCTTACATCTCGCCAACTAGGTCAGCGTCTCCCACATGCCACCAGAGCTGGGACACAGCTGTGGACAAAGGACAGGGAGCTGGCCTTGAGAGCCTGACATCCAAATCAGGGCCGAGAAAAACCTGGAAAGAACAGGCAGCATCCACCAAGGGAGCGTGGGGTGGCAGGAGCCGGCCGCCCATGGGCCTCTGGCCTCCGCCTTCAATGCCTGCCTCCCACCCTCGATGGGGACTGAACCAGGGCCTGTGCAGGCGAGGTGAGCGCTCTATCAACGGAGCTACGTCCCCAGCTCTCCCCCAGGGTTTCTTGCTTCCACATCTCTCCATTCACGTGTTATCTCATTTTTCTTTTAGCAAAAACATCTTTTCTGTGTCTATTTGGCCAAACATAACCTCTCCACTGCCAAAATGTCTCTTTGTTCAGTTTCAGTGACCAGTTCAGACACAATTATGTCCTTAAATCCAATTTTCAAGTTCCTAGGAGAGGGTCTTTGCAGGGGGTTATATGGACAATTGTAAAAGAAAGAGCTGCCACCCCAAAGGAGGACAGTCCCAGAGGACACCCCAAGTAGAGTACAGTATGGCAGGAGACTGAACATGTTTGTACGTGGGACTACTTTCAGAAACAGACCCTAAGGAAATGTTCTGTTGAACGTGAGCAAACAATTACCTGAAGGCATCACTTGTCACCTCTCTGTAGTGGCAGGGACATGAAATCCAAGGTGGCAACTCAAGTATTCACAGGGGTCAGAGAGGTGATAATGTGAGGGAAGGAGGCAGGCCTGGTGGGTGACATCAGGGAGTGGTGGCAGCTGTAGCAAGGTGGATGTCGCTGAAGGGGCACCTCTGCTACTTGGTAGCCCGCCAGTGTGCTGCCACCCAGATCCCAAGCCTCCCCGGGCCGTCCCTGAGAACACCAGAGACACCTGCAGGCCATGGTTCAACCCATAGCCATGGCTCTGAGCCCCAGTACCCTCAGATGTTTTATTAGTGGGCCATAGAGCTATCAGCATATTATTTTAGCAACCCTTAAAGCAGTACCTAAAAGGTTTTTAGAAAAAAAAGAAAAAGGTCTGTGGGAGGGAGCAAGGGGTGGGAGGGCGGGGAAGGGCGGGAGCTGGGGTCTGAGTTAGAGGGAGAGGTCGTCCATGCCTGTGGAGTCCTGTCACAGTGAGTCCTCTGTCAGGTGCGACTCAAAACCAGAACCAATAAACAATTTAAAAAGAAGGTAAGTGGGCAAGAATTGGTCTGTAATATTGCAAAATTTAAAATAATTGGTTAAAAGGATTTTTCTTTCCCTTAAATCTCGCGCTGCAGGTGTGTGTGTGTGTGTGTGTGTGTGTGTGTGTGTGTGTGTGTGTGTGTGTGTGTGTAGTTCTTGGGTGTGGAGGACACAGGCTGTGAGGCCCGGGGCTTGGGGCGACCCTCGAGGAGGGAGGCAGAAGGCAGATTTCCAACTCCAGCCCTCCTTGCTGGTGGAGGTGGCTTTGCCACGTTTGTCATCCCCTAGTGACTCAGGGGTCCTTCCCACAGCTATTAGTGATGGTTTTACGGCCTAATTAAGTTACTACCAAAGGCTTAAGCTCAGGAGAAAATTAGCTTCTTTCCTCCAAGTGGCCTTCAATGACAGTGGCACCTTGTCCCAGAAATGTCCCGAGCATGTCATTGAGCCACAGTGGTTCTCGTGCAAGGCAGGGCGCCTGACGTTTATGTTGGGACACCTGGGAGCAGCGTCCACCCTGTGGGCAGAAACCTTAGGTCGGTTGCAAAGTTCCTTTTTAAATGGTCACCTGTGTGTGTGATGGGGAAGCCAATTATTCATGTGTCCTATTTTGGCTAACTTCTGCCCATGGAGCATGAGTGACCAGTGGGTGGGCGTGGACACACAGAGCCCCTTTTCAGTTTCTGTTTTGAAATGGATCTCGATTCTCTCCCTCTGCCGCTGTGTTTGCCTTTACAAAAGGGTCACAGTTTTCTAACAGAATTGATATGGAATTGTCCTCAGAAGTCCAGAGGAAGTGGCCCTGCCAGGCACTGACCCTCTGCCCCACAGTGGGCGCCCCGTCAGGAACGTGTCCTCTGCTTGGAGCTCGTGCCTCCAGCCTGCTTCCTCCCACCTCAGGGCCTTTGCACGTGCTATTCCTGCTACTTGGAATGTCCTCCCCAGGTGGCTCCATGGCTAACTCTTGCCTCCTTTAAGTCTCTGCTCAAAATCTACATTCCTAATGGAGCTGTGTGGACAGCCTGGGTTTGAAATCGTAACCTGCGTCTCGGGCCCTGGATTTCCGCCCCTCCCCTGGTCTGCTAAGTGCTTTCCCACACCCACCGCCTGTCACACCTGACTCGGGTAGTGTGTCGTTGGGGTTGCGATGGAGGCACGGATCTCCATTTTGCTCTGGTATCCCCAGAGCCTAGCACGCCCCGGGCACATGCGGGAGCTCACGCTGTCCACCGGAGGCGTGATGGTTGGCCAGGCCTTCAGCCTGGTGCCCGGCTGCCTGCCTGGCTGCCCGCTGTGTGATGGCCCACCGGGCGCCGGCTCCCCAGCACCACCTCAGCGCTCCCAAGTCTGCGGTCAGCAACGCAGACTGGTGCGGGGAGCCAGCTGGGGGTGTCCCCTCCCTGAAACAGGGTGACCACAGAGAATGTGGTGACGTTCCTGGTGACACGCGCACCGCCTCACGGCCCAGGTGCCTGTAGAGCACCTGGAGAACAGCGGCCTCGGGTTTCCTTGGCGTCCTGCGCGGGCACAAGGCTCGGCCCTCAGGCATCCGTCTTCCAGGGAGATGTCCCCGCTC